TGGGGGTGTGGTTAAGGGGTGGGGCAGTCAGGGGACAAGAGGCAGGGAGGCTTAGATAGGGAGTGGAGTCCTGGGGGGCAGTTAGGGGCAGGGGTCCCAGGAGGGGGCAGTCAGGGGACAAGGAACGGGGGAGGTTGGGGGTTCTGGGGGGCGGGAAGTGGGAGGGGCAGGTCTAGGGCGGGGCTAGGGCGGGGCTCCTCCCGTCCTCTTTTTTGCTTGCTGAAATATGGTAACCCTAGCTTTGAGCATTGGAGCCATTGAAGAGCCCACAGTACTTTTCATCAGAGGCATTGATCCCAGTGCTCGGCCGGACTGTGAGTCGGGTAATTACGTTCTACAGCTAGGCAATTCCCCCTGCAGGCTCAACTGGATGCTGCATTTTCCTTTTATTATTTGCCCACTGCTGTATGTAGTGTTACCGTGTGGTGTTAAACAGCTGCCTTGTTCTATCCCAGAGGAGGCTGCATTTCAGTGCTGAGTGACGTGATTGCTATGTTTGCAGAGATTTGCATCCTTCATGGGGAAAGGTGCTAAATCAATGTGAGATTAAAATAGGGTGGCCTCTGATGCAATTTGGTTACTTCTAACCCCCTACAGGTCTGGTGCTGTGTTGTCTGAGAAAGGAGAGGCCCATTCTACTTCCCTGGGGACCTGGAGAGGTGCTGTGGGAGCTCCTGCCCATGGGCCTCTGGGTGAGCAGGGGAGGCTGCTATGAGCCTAGTGTCGCATTGTCTTGGTCTTGGAAGTAGGGTTGGTAGCTGGCCTGCTCCCCCCCTGCCCTCACTTCTCCCAGTTGCTCCAGCTGCCACTGCTGGTTCCCAGGGGGAGCAGTAGTCTTAAGAATCTCCCCCTAGGGAGGTGCTGAGGGTTGGGTGTGGCTGGAGGAAGGAAGGTGGATTTCAAATCCCTGTTGTTTTTATTTGCACTGCTGTTGTGCCTAGGAATCCCCTGGCATGGACTAGGACCCCGCTGTCCTAGGTGCTGTACAAACCCAGAACAAAAGGCAGTCCCTGCCCTGAAGAGCTAGAGAAGCAGATGGCAGGTAATTATCTGACACAATGCAATAAAATCAAAAGCAGAGTAATAGTGTGAAAACCCTTCGAAGGCTTTAAGAAAAGTTAATGCTGGAGACAGAGAGAGGCAAAAACCATATCCACAAGCCCTAGCAGGAGAGAGTTGGGAGGAGTGGAGGAAGAAAATACTCTATCAAAAAATCTCCTATCTTTGAATCATCCTTGAGATTCAGCTTGATCTTTCTTGGCATAGTCTTGTAGACCATCCACCTCAAATTCCTGGCAGGTTGAATAGCAAAGAGAAAAAAAAAGCTAAAGTATTGCTTGCTTATGGTGGCCATTATATCTATTCCAGATAAGGAATGTGTAATCATTACAGTCGGACTGAAGGAATCACTTTCATTTCAGGATCAGACGAATATCTTTCGGATGTGGCCCATGACATGTAGCCCTACAAAGAGACCCCCAGCTGATGTAATGTGGTGTAACTCCATTGAAGTTGATAGCCCAGTAATGCTTATCTGTTAAGGTGGATTTTATTGAATTGGGAATGGATTTTGCTGTCTGTAACCAGTTCAGTAAAATCTACTTTTAGCTACTTCGAGCTGAAACGAGTTGTAGATAGCTTGGCAGGACAAAAGATGTATTTTCTCTCATCTTGATGGCACCAGAAAGTTTGTTGCATTCCATGCTAGTATGGCTCCACAGCTGAGGGCTAAAGATACAGGCAGGGCGGGGGTGATCCTTGAAGATCTCACAAAACATTACATGCTCCTGAAATTCTGCTTTCTTACGAGTCCAATCCTGCATGTCCTTTGGGTGCGGAATTCCCAGTGAAGTCAATGGAGGAGTTCTGCACATGGCAGGCCTGCAGGACTGAGCCCTTAACGGCTGCTCTCTGCTTTCTTGTTCAGTGTCAGAGCTCATTATACCCATATAATTGTCACTGTTTTTCCTTGTTATTTGTATTACAGTAACACCAAGATCTGGGCCGACTACATAGTAAGAGTGAGCGCCTGCCTCGAAGAGCTTACATTCTAAACAGACATGGGAAGAAAGAAATATTGTGATCCTCATTATACAGATGGAGAGGCTGAGGTGCAGAGAGATTAATGACTTGCCCAGGGTTACAGAGGAAATCTGCGGCAAAGCCAGGAAATGAATCCAGGTCTGCTGAGCCGCAGTCCAGTGCCTAAGCCACAAGACCGTCCTTCCACTGGAAGTCACATTACTGTTAGGATTTTGCTAATTATTCTCTCAGGCCTTTCTTCTTCTGTGATAGCCTTGGGTTTGGCAGCACAGGTCATAGTTCCCCTTGGTTCTATTATTTTCTTGCCATCTTTCCTTCTTTCCATCAGTCCTGAAACTCTTCCTTAGTTTTTATTCTGTCCTCACTTAAGCGGACACCTTCTGAAGTCAAAGGGAGTAGTGCGTGAGTACAGAATTGAAGATTTGGCCCAGTGACTAGAACTGGGACTTTCTAGAATTGAATGTGTCTGCGAAATCCTTCTGTCCTGTGGTTCTTTAGCTCCCTTCTCAGTATTTGTGGTAAGGATTTGTGCAATTTTGACGTGTGTAATAACCATCTAATCATCATGACCAGGGCAGTGTCTCCATTCCACACCCAATCCCCTTTTCTCTGGGCTCATTTTCTTAACTATCACTTTCGTATCTAGAGCTCTGATGCTCTCCAAGTCAAACACACACCACTTCGCGGAGCATCCCTGTGTTGCTCTCTCCTGCTTCTTGTTCCCGTTCTTGCAAGGGTGACACCTTTGCTGAGAATGGGCAGGGGGAAAGGCTGTAGGGTGAAGGGATATTTTTGGGATGAAGTTGTAAAGTGCCCCCTTGTTCAGGCTTTTCCTCCGTCCAGCACTTACTTGTCCCCTCTTGCTTCCGACTACTGTCTGCCCCACTGCGCTGCTGCTCCCTCTCACAGGGACTTGGCCTAAAGATAGTGTTAATAAGTACAGTGTTTGGTGCAGGATGATGGTGTTAACAGCACAGTGACAGAGGAGGGAGAAGAGACTATAGCAGACTCCTATTGTCCTAAGTTAACAATAACCTCACAGGCCTGGTGAGGGGGCCTCAGGGGCCATTGAGGCAGTCATGTTACTACCCACCACCCCTTCGCAAACAGCGGTTGCTATAAGAACTGCAATTAGCAGCCATTTGTTATTAACCAAGAGAAAGATGCATTCCTGGCCGTATCGCAAAGAATTGGCTGGGAATCCTGGGCTAGATCTGCATTTCTGGCCAAGTTTCGATGGACTGCAAGGCAGCCAGCCCTGCCTCGTACTGTAATAGTGTGTTTCTTTCCAGATCTTACTCTCTAGAGGGAGCAGCAGGGAGCGCTGTCTGCTCACACATCCTGGAACTCTCCAACTGACTGCATTAGAGGTAGCAAAGTACTGAAGAGGGAGCTGAGTAATAGAAATAGAAGGTGCCCTCTGGAGCTTGTTTGTGTGACTGAATTAACTGGCCTCCCCTGAGCTCTTGCCAACCTCCACCCCCCACTCGGGTTTTCAGGGTTGCACCTTTATGGGAAGGCTATTTTTGAAAACTGCCCCACCCCTCTCTCTGCCCCAGGTCCCGTAATAAGAGAATAAGGAGGCACTTTGTGAAATGAATGGCTGGTAAATTTAGATCAAATAAAAGGAAATCCTTCCTCACACAGCATGTGCAGCCACCCTGATGGAAAGCACCGTTGGGAGCAGGTCATCCAGGACCAGCACTGAGGCTGCATTGTAGTAAGGCCTGGGTGGCTGGTTCTGACCTGTAATATAACAGAGTAGTTATGTGGGCTAAGATAGTAAAGGCAATTCAGGCTCCTGATTCAAACATACACTGATCACTGGCAGGGTGGGGGGAGGGCAGGAAGGAACACCCCACCTTCTCCAATGTGCAGCACTATACAAATGGCTACATTAGTGAGGAGGAGGGGGACCCACACTCTTAAAATGGGCCGGCAAGCTGGTGTTAGAGCTGGGGGAGGCCGTGGAGGCACTCTGAGGTGCAAACTGAGTACATGCCTTGATTTTTGTTACTGCCCAGGTAATTAGTGTATCGGGGGAACCCCCCTAAGCAAAGCATCCCGATTGCAAATTACCACAGCTCTCAGCATTTCTTCATCCACTTCGCAGCTAAGGCAATAGCTGAAGCATGTGGCAGCTTTTCACACCGCTCTCTTGCCCACCCTCCTGTCCTGCACACGTGGAGACTGGGACACAGGACGCCCTGGATGTTACCATATCAGGGACTGTTGTGCACGTTTCCAGGCTGCTGAATACCTGACTGGTATCTATAGAGAACATTCCCTTCCCAGCGAGACAGGGGCCGTGAGTTGTGCTCAGGCAGGCAGGCCATGGACTCCCCTCCCGCCTCCCCCACAGAAGAATATGAGTGTGTAAATGTTTCCTGCCCGGTTGTTTAGCCCTTGCACACGTTAGTGAGCACTTCCCCACGTGACATGTCCCCCTGAAGTCAGTGGAGTTGCTGGTGGCTGTAAGAGCTCATCACTGTAAGGATCCTTAAACATTTTTGCGCCAGATTCTCAACCGGCATAAATCACTGTAGCTCCATGGACTTCAATGGAGCTGGGCTGATTGACCCAGCTAAAGATGTGATGTGGGTGTGGCACAGCCATTGTGCAAACACCGTTCAGGTAATAACCTGCCTGGGACTTCTCAGCAGGCCAGGATTTGCAGGTTTGCCAATGATAACAGCAAAGATAAGATACAAGAACCCTGCACTCAGTTAGGCTCCCCCTCCTTCTGTTATCATCCTCTTGAAAGGTGCTTTGTACTGTGTGCTTATCCTTGCAACAAGGCATTGAGCAGGTATAAACAGCCGTCCTACACACACTCGCATGCCTCTCCTCCAACAGCCCTTATCCTAAGCAACCTCTGTGCTTCATTTCATACACTAACTCTCCATGCTACAGCTTAACCCCCAGCCCCATATCAAACTCCACCAGAACAGCTGGAGAGCGAACAACCAAAGTAAGCCCAGGTTAGCAGTGGCTGAAACTACCAGCTCCTGGTGGTTTGGTGGCCTCCATGAAATGAATTGGGGGTTTCATGGAAGCCACCAGCTAACTGGCACCCGGGTTGCAGAGCCAGCACTAGGCATAAGCAGACTAAGCAATTGCTTAGGGCCCCGAGCAGCTCAAGGGGGGCCCCCTATTCGCTTTTCATTATGTGTTGCGTGGGGGGAGGGGATATTCCTGCTTAGGGCTCCCAATGGGCTAGTACTGCCTCTGCTGGGTTGACAGTTTCAGCAGAGAGGGCCAGGCCTGTATGGAAGTTGAACTCCCCTTCAGCCTCTAAACAAGGTGTCTCCAGCGCAGGGTTGAAGTACACTGATGGGGCAGTGTGGGAGAAGCTTGCACAGTCGATGTCCACACTCTGTCAGTACTGTGAATGAACACCCCAAGGCTGTTGGTCCCACATCTTTCACTCACCCCAAAAAGGGAGTCAAGAGAGAGAAAAACTCTCTGGGTGTTTATGAGAGCCATATTGGACAGTGCTGGTCATGCTGATGTCAGGATGAGATGCCTGATTGCATATGTACATTCCATCATTGTGCCAGTGTAATGCACTGGATGGGTGCGTGTGATCATGTCTCCCTCTAGCCATTGGATATAGCGAGGCTAAGGGCATGCTGCTTTCTGACAGCTAACTCTTACTCCTTTAGTGCAAGTGATAAGGGCTTGTCAGTGCTTCTGGTACAGCAGTGTGGTGTCTGTGTGTGTATGTAGTAAAACACAGGGGGCCAGACCCTCCCAAAGAACTCAATGGAGGCGTGCCAATTGACTCCAGGTGAGAATCTGGCCCAGAGTGGGAAAGGTTTCTGAAGCAGAGCCAGTTAGGAAGAGAAAAGAAGTGCAAGGCCATGAGAGAAGACCAGGCTCTGGATGTGCAAACCAGGAAAAATAAAGGGGAAACGCTAGCTGAGTGAATCCATTGACCAATGGAAGAAACTAATAACAAAGGATATGGACAGAGAAATTAGTTTCTCTCCAAGGGAGATGGGTGGCAGACTCCATCCACAGGACCAGCATCTGGGACAGAAGAGAAGATCTAAAGTGAATTGTGACCACACCCCCAAATGTGCTGTATCAGGTAAGATAATGTAAAGATCCTGGGATGAGTGGAGCACACCATATAGCCCAGATAGATACCAAAGAAGTTCTAGCCCAGCAGCAGGAATCTCCCCTGGCAGAGAGGGGAGGTACCAGAGAAGAAGAGGGAAGGGACGGAAGAAGAAAAGCATCATTGCCAGAATGATGTTTAAAAAAGGCAATGCAGGTGAAAAGAGAATGTAAGTGCAAAGGTGCTGGGTGTGTTGGGAAAGGGGAGATTGTGGAATGTTCAGAGGTGTGATAGCAGAATGTGTAAATGTACCTGAGATAGCCTCAATCTAGCTATAGAGCAGTGAAGCTGTGGCCGCACAGACTTCAGTGTGGGCTAGTTGCCCAAATAACTACCCACGGTCCCACGTAGGCATATGCAGTTCATGCTGAAACCTGTGTTACTGCCACCTCCCTAATCCAGGACTCAAGCTAGCTGGATTAAAGCTAGATCTAGTACATCTGTATGTGCTTCCATCACACACCCTGATTGCAGTGTAGACATACCCCAGAAAAGAACTAAGCTAATATGGTTCTTAACCAGCAAATATATTGGGTCAAACCCTACTCTTGTTCACACTGGTGTAAATCTGGAGTCTCTCCCTTTGAACTGGGCCTGTTGCCTGGTATTAGTGAATATTGCCACCAATTAGTTTACTGGACTGCAAGTTTATGATGTTCTTAAGTGATATCATCACAGCCAATATAGAACATGCTGAAAAACGCTTGGTTGTCCTGATCCACAGTTTCAATGACTTTCAAACGGACTCACAGAGGGGATAAATATGGGGAAGCAGGTATCAACACAAACCGTACCAGAATAACAGACACCACATCAACTTCCTGCCATGTAAGCTGTATAGTTCCCTCAGTAAAAACTCTCCCCTTGGCTTCAATGAAGCCAGTTTCATAAATCCTTTCCTTGTGCAATGCCATTGGATTGTGAGGTTAAACTGGATGGCATTGGAGGTGTTTTCAGTCAAAGGTCCTTAACTCTGAAATTTACACCCCTGCAGTGGTCCAACAGCACCCAGGGTCTGTTGTGATAATTGAGCCTATAGCTTTACCTTCATTGTGAGTTTAACTGTAAGCAGTGAGTGAAAGTTTATAAGATGTAACAATAACTTTTAGCAACAAATGTTAATGGGAAAAGGTATGAGAGGGAGACAGAAACTGAGTTAGTCCAAACAAAAAGGCCTCCTGATAGAACTCAAGGACTGTGTTAAATGTGGAACTAGAAATCAGTGAACCAAAATTGGTGTGTCGGAAACTAGGCCTAATTGGTGGACAAAATAATGAGGGGATGGGCTATTCTGCCCACCACTCCCCTTTTGGGGGTCCTTAAACGAAGACTTGGGGGAGAAAAATTAACAACTGGAGTGAGCTTCACCATCATGGCTGCCACCCCAACTGTCTCATAGGACCACAGACCTTCTTCATCCTAATCGTGAGAGATGTCCTGAGCAGCCCAGGTCAGAGAGAGGCACCCAGATGACACCACCTGTACCAGCTCCAGCTGAATCCCAAACCCCACCTCGGATGAAACGGGACTGGACTTTAACCGCAGCAGCAGCAATAACAGCTCCAGCATTTCTTAGCTAACTTTTCTTTTCCCCATAGGATAGTTATTGCCGTCTTTGTTATCATCTAAGAGACTGTGAGACACGGGGGCTTTGCCTTCTAAAAACTCTCTCCAGCTCAAGGGAAAGGGAACAAGGGTTGTTGTTGTTAAAATGAAAGCCTCACTTAATACTTTACCTGTTAAATGCTTTAACTGTTTTCCCGTCTTTTCTTTACCTTTAATAAGAGGTTAAAATAATTTGTAGAAGTGTGTTTGCCACGGACCGTGCTAAGCAATATGAGGTCTCTATAGACCAAACCCCAAAGTTATTTAACGCTGTTTAATGTTGGACAGTGACTGTTCTATGTTAACACCTTTGGCCCAAGTACTCCATGTAAATTAATATAAAATGTTTGTGTTCCCAATGTGGGGCCCAAAGTGTTAAATACATACTCAGACACTGGCACCTTGGCAAACAAGCAATTGTTTCCAAAGTTAGTTTAAAACAAAAGTTTGTTTTAAAATTCTTAAATGTGTTGAGTTTGTTTGAGATGAACATGCAAAACAAACTGTTAACATTTTTGCTTGAAAAAAAGAGAGGGCTAACGATTGTTTTATAGTGATTTTTAAAAAAAATCTTGTAAAATGCTTTGGTTCATTTTTTTCCCTTGTGTTTTGAGATTTGTAGTTTCTGTGATTGGCAATTTTTAAGAAAAAGTAAAAGTAATAATGAGTTGTTTAAAATTGTTGAAGGTTAAGTGGCTAAAGCAGACTTCCTGAAATAACATCTTGGGTAATTCTCTTCTTAATAAAATGCCAGCTTTATTCCAGGCTACTATTGCATTAACTGTGAATTAAATCTCAAACCACCGGAACCAAGGGTTCTTGCAGCACCAAACTTGTTGTGATTGTTTTGGTTTTGCAATGTTTTTTTCCTTGATGCTTTTGTGCTTTAGCAAAGGGTTCCCTCCCACCCCCCCACTTTTGTTTTTTATGTCAATGATTTCTGTTACCGTTCTCTGCACATGAGACAGCAGCACAGTGCAAGTTGCCAAGATGGCCATGTTGTCCTCACAAATGGTGGTGGTAAAACGTATGCGCAAGATCTATCATAGATTAAAAAGGCCTGTGAATTTTTACCAGCATTGCTCATGGATGCAAAAGTGGTTCCAAGAGAACATTGTTTTGTTGCTTCTTTTTAAAAGAGGCAACACACGTGGTTAAAAATGCCCTCAGGGCTAAAGTTTTTCTCCAAGTGAGCAAGCTTAACCTCCAGTGCATAAAATCTTCCTGGGTTATGTAAATGTACAGCCTGTACTGTGTAAGCAGCAAAAGGGGTGCGGGGAAGGAGCTCTTTCCATTGTTACCCACCCTGGGCGTACAGCCAAAGAAGTGAGAAGAGCTGGTTTGTTCTTAAACGTCTTACAAACATCGAACAGCAACAGTTCTAAGTTTTGTTTTTGCTACAAATGAAATGAGTTATAAGTTCTTAAACCTTTCAAATGTTAACAAAGCTTACCTGTAATCTTTGCAATATTTGATCAAGTAAGATTTGCAAATCCCGAGCTTGGGATAAGAAATTTGCTAAACATTAAAATATAACCAAGGACTCTTTTTCTTTGCCTTTTTCTAAATGCTTAAACTAAAATAAGGTGTTTCTTTGTAATTGTGATTTTAAGAACAAATGTCTGATCCTAGGTGGAACTAGTTCATAAAAGAGAGGAATTACGTTGTGATAAGTGGGCCTACACACTTACCCTAGTTGTGAGTTTAACTATAAGAAGTTAGTAAAAGTTTATAAGATGTAACAATAACTTATAATGACAAATGTTGATAGGAAAAGGCACGGAAGACTAAATTAGTCCAAACAAAAAGGTCTGCTCAGAGAAGTCAAGGACCGTGTTAAAATCATTCCTGGTAAACAAGAGGAGTGTGGAACCAGAAATCAGTGAACCAACAACAGCTCCAGCCGGAGGTGTGGGAACTTGGGGTCCTGAGGGTGCAGCAGCACCCCCTGGCTTGAAGTGGTTTCCATCATATACAGTTTTGTTCGCTGACTCTCAGCACCCCCACTATAAAAACTGTTCCAGCGCCACTGGCTGCAGCTCATCTCAACTATCTTCTTCTCTTTTCCCCAAAAGGACAGTTATCACCATGCTTGAGACTGTCAAACAAGGGGGCTTTTCCTTCTAAAAACTCTCTCCAGCTCCAGGGAAAAGGAACAAGGGATGTTATTAAAATGAAAATCTGCCTTAGCAGTTTACATTTTCAAATGCCTTCAGTGTTTTTCCTTTATTTATCTTTAGTAAAAGGTTAAAGGTGTTTAATGGTGTGTGTGCCATGGTGGTGAGGTCTCTGTACACCATATCTGAATGTTATCTAACACTGTTTAATGTTGGACAGAAACTGGGTTATGCTAACACCTTTGGCCCATATATTCCATTTAAATTAATACAACATGCTCCAGTCCTGTAACGAGCGCCTTGCATACCTTTAGCTCCTTGCTGGATCAGGGTCCAAGTGTGCTGACTGCCTGGACCCAGCTATTTTCCTGAAATAGAGAGATTGGTTAACATGGCTGTTGGGCTGATAATGACTTTCATATGTTGATTTTAAATGGATCATTACACCAGCCTTGAGGTTTGGAGAGATGCATTTCAAAAACCAGAAATCAATGCACTTGAAATATTCCATATCATTTTGCTTGCTATTCACCCACTGAGGGCAAGATTAAAAGAAAGATGCAAAAGAATTGGAAGTCAGCCTTTAAAAACTATTCTTAAAAAGAAAATAAACCTAGAGACCTAGTACTTTGTTTAAAATTAAACTCATTCATTTTAACAAAACATCAGTGTTTTAGATATTAATGTATGAATGATTGGGTAAACAACCCTTGAGTTTCTAAGGAATGAATATCAGGCTGTCCTGCAAGGGAATACTTTGTACTTGCATGGTCACCTTCCAAGAATTTTAAAGTGCTTTATAAAAGAAATAAACAAAGCTGCTCTGCCTTGTAAGATCGTTGTGAGGGATAGATACGGAGCACTTCATCCAGCACTGAAATGCCGCCAGCTCTCGAGCAGAACTCAGCAACTCTAGAATAGTGGATGATTACAGTACACGGCAGATTATAGTAAAATCCGAAATACACATGAAAGGTAAAGAAGAAACATGGGGAAGAAGGGGACAACAGCTAGTCAAGACATTTAAAACTTTTGCTTTCACTATGGGTTAGCACACAGCATCCCCCCTTCCCTCCCGCGTGTAATGCTGCCTGTACTCTCACTGCACTAGATTGCTAAGCACTGGGAAGGGATTTGCAAGTCCAAGGCCTTTTTAAATCAGTCAATAAAATAACCAGGGGTGGATGTTAAAGGGGACTCTCTGTGTCTCTCTTCCTCCTCCCCAGCTTTCACTCCCCATCATTCACATCGCATATGATTCCTTGTGCTTGCTAATGGCACCATTGCACAGCTCATCTTTCTAATCAAGGACTAAAGCTTTTCCAATCCCCCGCCCTCCAAAGCTGGCAATCTGCAGGGCCGCCCAGAGGATTCAGGGGACCTGGGGCAAAGCAATTTTGGGGGCCCCTTCCATAAAAAAAGTTGCAATACTATAGAATACTATATTCTCGTGGGGGCCCCTGTGGGGCCCGGGGCCTGGAGCAAATTGCCCCACTTGCCCCCACACCCCGGCGGCCCTGGTAATCTGCCAATCCATGTCTGGTACTCTAGCAAAGGGGTTTGTGAGTTTCTGGCCCCCTCCTCTACCCTCTGAAGGAGACCCCAAATTTCTGGGTGACTTCTGATCAAGAGAAAGGGAAGCCAACTTTCTGGCTCCCTCTGCCTTCATGAAGAGACCTCTCCCAATTCCAGTCAATCCTTCGGATGTCCCCCCTCCCACTCTGCTTCAGCAAAGGGCCCTAAGTATAACCTGAGGTGAAAACCATGCCCAGGAGCAACTAAAATGTGCTCTCATGGTCTGAACCTCTCCAGCCATTCTGGCTTTATTATTTGTATTAATACTACACTTGCACCTATAGGCCCCAGGGGACATCAGGGCCCCATTGTGCTAGGGGCTTGGTCCACACTGGGGCGGGGGATCGATCTAGGAAACGCAACTTCAGCTATGAGAATAGCGTAGCTGAAGTCGATGTTTCCTAGCTCGAACTAAGTTTACTTACTGCGGGTCCACGCAGCGCAGGCAAGCTCCCCTGTCGACAGCGCTTCCTCCTCTCGGCGAGCAGGAGTTCCGCAGTCGATGGGGGAGCGCTTCTGGGATCGATTTATCGCGTCCAGATGAGACGTGATAAATAGATCCCAGAAGATCGATCTCTACCCACCGAATCAGGCGAGTAGTGTGGACCTAGCCAGGCAGTGTAGACACATGGTTAGAAACAGTGCCCATTCTGGAGAGCCTGTGGTCTAAATAGACAAGACTCATGGAGAGATAAAAGTACAGAGAAGTTAAGTGACATGTCTAGGATCACACAGCAGGTCACAGCCCAGGCTAGAACCTTGGTCTCCTAAGCCAGCACCTTACCCTCTGGGCCACACTGTATTAGAGTTCTGCAAAGGCTGTTACACTGCCAGCCCTGGACTAGTCCCCAGATAGTGAGACAACAGAAAGCAACAAGCTGAATGTGGGGCCTGGGACTGACCAGAGCGAATGACCCAGCCTTGCCATCCTCTCTGGAGCAAAGGGAGAGAGTGCATAATTCCTCCCCCCAAGTTTTGTTTCCACAGGTATTGGGCCAACCGGGTTTAGAACAACAAGCTGAGGAGGACGAGGGAAAGAAAACCTTGCAGCTCCCTGTCTCCTGCATGCCCTACTCCATAGGGACTTTGCTGGCATTGCCTAGATGGGTGACGCCACTGTAGTGGTCAGCTACCGGAACAGGATGGCTTTAGAAACCCTATACTATTTTCTCCTAGATAACAGCCAATGTTGGCTACTTGCTATCAGGAAAGGCTGTGATGAGCCTGGCATATGTGATGGTGAATTTTTCGTGTTTGCCCAGCGATAGCTGGGCTTGGTAGCCTCAGCAAAGCCCTGGTTTGTTTGGCAAGCGGTCTTTATCTTTCACTCTACAGTTCTGAACAAATGGCAAAGCAATGAACATCGCTAATGGGGCAGGTACAGCGGCTGCTTTATTTCAGCAGTAATCCGTGAATTCAATAGATCCACACATTAAACCAAACCCAGCATTTGGAATAATAGAATAAGAGCTTTTACAGCAGCGCCAGTCTTCATCTGGCTTTTTCCCATCCATAATGCCCCCACCCCTTTTATTTTTTTAATCCAGTGAGATATAAGGGCCAGAAATGAAAATTGTTTCCCCCTCTTTCCCTTATCCCAATTTCAAGCTGTGGGCCAAGCTTTCCAATATTGACCAGTTGTAGTTAAGTGGTCATCAAGGGGTTAACTGGGTTGCTCAAAGTATTATGGGTTGGACCCACTCTCCACCTCTCCCTAACTTCCTGTTTAGTTAGTGTGCCCTTCTCCCACTTCCTGTTTGCCTACAGCTGAAGCAGCAGCATGTTCCCAGCCTGCAGAACTGTAAGTATTATGTGTTTCTTGTGCACCCAGCACTCCCTTTACACAACTGGTGATGAGGATAAACATAAGAATGGGCAACTGAGGAGCTTAATGCAGAAAATGAGGCTTGGCAGCAGTATATGGAAAGAGTGGGCCACTGTTTTCTTGCAAATGAGATTATAGAGCAGGACAAATGGAAGCAATTTTCCTGAGCATCTGTGGCAATGAAACCTACTCCCTCTCAAGGAGTTTGTTACAGCCAAGGAAATCAGAAGGTACAGGTTTAGAAGGCCTGAAAAAGCCTTAACAGAGCACTGCATGCCAAACGCCAAACATTGCACAGCAGAACGAGAGGGGCAAAGGGAGAGCGTAGCCCTGTGTGTAGCAGAGTTAAAAAGATGAAAGGACTATTGTGCATTCAGAAATGTCCTAGAGGATGTGCCATGCGCCAGATTGGTTTCTGGTATTCATAATGAGAGAATTCAAAGGCAGTTGCTGGCAAAGGGGAACTTAACGTGGCCCAAAGCAGTAGAATTAGCAACAGAAATGGAAGCAGCAGTGAAAAACTTACCAGACTTGCTCTTCGAGTGCAGAGCCCAGCAACCTGACTCACGCAACCAAGTGCAAAGCCAGCGGCAAGGGAGTGGGACTCCTGAGGAGTGTTTGTGGCTGCTGAGGCAGAGTTCATTGTGCTTCAATGCCTCAGGGTGGGACACGGAGCTAGAAAATGCAACGGTGACCATCAAAGAGCATCTCAAGCCAGGAGGGTGACCTGCCTCCCAGGAAAAATTAAAAAAAAAGGAAAAGGAAGACAGCAGAGGGCCTTTCCCTTGAGGGGAAGAAAGATACAGAGGGAGGGGGCACAGTATATGCTGTCTCAGGGGACCTTACGAAGTAGCGGTGGAGTTAAACTGTCACTACAAATGGAAATAGATTCAGGGGCTTCAGCTCCCATGATCAAGCTAGTGAACTGAGTGGTCCCTTTACCGAAGCAGTAATAGGGGATACTTCCATAGGTGGGCACCCAGCTGGAGAGGCATCAAAGGGAAAGTGCTAAGCACTCGACCTCAG